AGGGGCAGTGAAGCATGGTGCAGAAGCTGCAGAGGGGAAGTGGAAGCTGCTGTGGGTCTGATCTGGGCTTAGACTCAGAGCTGCAGCAGCTACTTGCTTCATGTGCAAATATAAGACAAGGGGCTTTCCCTCCTCCTCCCATCATCCTGACTGAGGAGAAAAACCTTGCCCTACCATTTGAGTAACTACAGTAAATTAGTTTTTGAAATCAGGCGCCACTCAATTCACAAAAGTTATGGAGGGATGCCTCAAGTCCAGAAAGGTTGAGAACCACTGGTCTAACTCATAAATCTGTAGAAGTTCACTGCACAACCCAAAGGGCCACAGGCTGCACTGTTAAGGTCCAGCTCATCACGGCATACAGCACCAGGATGGTCTTTATAAATATGCAATTACACCCCAGCACCAGCTGTGAAACCCCTCCCGTGCCACCGAACCATGGCCTTCCATTGCTGGCCACCCAAGATTCACACAGACAGGAAGGGGCACAAGTAAGATAAGGAAGAACAGAAGGAAGATGTATTTACCTGGTATCCAGTAAACTTGACTCCAGGGTTGTTTTCTATTTCCCACAGGCCTTCATTAAATCCTTTTCGTTTGTTCGACTTCCCAAACTTATCTTTATATTCTTTATATGGGAAGAGGTCCTTGGGCCCCAGGAAAGCACTGCATTTGGACAGAAGTGGTGTTCAGAAAGCATTGTCATTTCCCCCTCCAATGTAATACACTGATCCATGCAAATGACATGCTTAGTGTCTTGCTCATCACATTAGATCTTTACACTCTGGGCGATTCCGAGCTAGCACTGTGAATCTGATGTCATGGATTTTATCAGGCATTGCTCACCATCCCAACACTCGCTACAATGAAAACAAGTAAACTCACTATAACTTAAGGCAAACTCAAGCTGAGTATCTCCAGGAATAATTCTGGCACAATCTCATGTATTATATTAAGCCCAGCTCAATACGGGCACTTCAACTGAGCAAACGAAATGATGTGATACTATTGCTTGCAACGATAAGGGCCTGCAATCAATGATTGGCCTCCTATGGTCTGCTGTACTGCAAATTTGAAGGGGGCTGAAAATCATATTGTATAAAACATTAAAGCATGTGACAAATTTTTAGAACCTACAAGCCAAAGCCCACCATGGCTGTGGTATTTGTAATTTATTATTATTTGGACTGCAGTGGGAGCAACAGGCATGGAAAGAAACCCTGGTAGGGGCCTAGTAAAAATCCTGAACAAAAAGCTGGTTTCTGCCCCAAACAGCTTACAAGCCAGGAGGCAACTGGTGACTACAGGCAGACAGGGAATATAAAGAAACAATTAATCAGTGCTGGCTGGTATGGTAAGCAGTGGCCCCAGCCCACCACTTCTTAATGGTTGCCAGGTTATTTGGGAGCTATTGAGGCAGATAAGAGAAGTATTGCTTTACCACTGCATAAACCAGCCTTGTGCCAGGCTGACCAGTTTCAAAGATGACTGTATTAAGAATGGAGGAGAAGAGCACTTAGCTTCCATTATAGAAAATTCTATGCAATCAACATATAAACATAACTGGGTAAGGCACATGATCATTTGGCATTACCAGTTTCCTGCCTCTCCGATACTTTGTAAAACGCTTCCTTGCTCAGGCACTTATATTTGCCCATTACTGCAGCATCGCAGAGGTTCACATTATTTAATGCAATTATTCCTGACACCTCTGTGAGGCAAGGAGATATTATTTATGTAATTTTCAGATAGAAAGTGGAGGCACACAAAAGGTTTGCCCAAGGTTACACAGCAATCTGGGAGCAGAGTTGGATGTGAGGCTAGGTTTCAACCTCACGCCTTAACCACTGGAGCATCCTTCTTCTCATTTATGTTTTATTTTGAATTAAATTACACCTTACCCCTGCTAGCACTTCTGCACAGGTGTGACTCTGGATAGAGAGTTAGTTACCAGCGTGGAGTGGGCTGCTTTCATTTGGAAGCTCTTTGGAGCAGGGACCTTCTTTTTAGACAAGTCTGTATAGCACCTAGTATAATGGAACCTGGAAGCTGAATCCCATTTGGTCTCTGAGACACCTTAATTATGGTAATGGTGTGGATAATGTACATTTACTTGAAAACTAAAGAGCAATTTTACAACATGCAGATGTCTTGATGGTACATGACAACAGACCAAAAAATGCTTCAATGAATGTTCCTTATTTTTATTTATTTAAAGAAACAATTCCATAATTTTGCTGAAGCTAAGTAGCACTTCTTCATATGATCATGGGATTCACAAAACAGCTACAATGAAAACAAGTAAACTCACTATAACTTAAGGTGTCTTATCCCGGTAACATACAGCAGAAGGTAGGGCAGGGTGGAAGCTTAAAGAATAACTGGTTCAAAAAGGCATAAGCTTTCATAGGCAACAGCCTAGTTCATCAGCTAAGTTTAGCATCTGATGCAGTAGGATGTTATCTAAAAGAGCTAGTGCCTCTCTAAGCCAGTTAGTCTCTAAGGGCATTTATACACATGCTCTGGGAAGGGGAAGGAGGAGCGTGCTCTTTAATTAGAATGGCCCTGTGAACCACTCTAATTAAAGTTCCCGGAACATCACATGTATCAGTGTCCTCGCACTGAAAAATGGCAGCAGGGGCACTTTAACTAAAGCTCATTGAATCAAGCTTTAGTTAAAGTGCCCCTGCCACCATTTTTACAGCAGGGACATTGATACACATGACGCTGGAGTCTGCTGGAACGTGATAATTAAAATTACCACACTCAAGCAGACTCGATTAAATAGAGTCTGCTTCGATGCGCTGAATAACACTGCATCGAGGCAGCCTCACTGCATGTGTATAGGCGTTCTAAGGTGCCGCCCTGCCCTGTCTTCTGTTTGACTTCAGACTAACATGGCTAATTACCTCCCTGACCAATAATGTATGTACATTTTAGTTGAGTATATACATATAACGTAAAAATATAAAAATCCTCCTCATATTGGTTTCAGATACTTGCATGAACCTCCGTTAATGGAGGAAAGTAGCTTTTCACTGCTCTGCCAGGAGTGAAATAGGGAGCCACCGTCCGCAATTCTTTTGTATCAGCTATTCTTTGTAAAATATTTAGATAGCAACTACACAATGACTTCCTGTTTCTGAGTTAATAATGAGATCACAGCTTATAAACTCAGCCCAATAAATTCTTTTACTTAATAGTCAGCCACTAGAGAGAAAGTGGGTCAGATTTTTGTCAGTGGCTTTTTTTCTAAAATTGCTTTTCCCTTTCAGAAATTTATTTTGTGATTGTGAAATTTCATTTAACTTTTTATCTGTCCTCACTTGCATGTCATTTTTTATGTTTACATTATTTAAGGGCATGTCAATAGCAGTAGTACGTGTCAAAACATCAAACCCTTATTACAATGCAAACAGGAGATACTTTGACCTAGAATAGAAGATATTTTGATCACCCTTAAGTAGAAGGTGCCCTTAAAATAGTTTAAAAAAATAAAACAAATATTTCAATTCTATTATTATGCCATATTATATGGTAAAATAATGTAAAAATCATAAAAATACTATAAAATATAAAATAACTAAGCAAGTTATTCTGAAATGAAGTTTCAAAATCCTTGCATGAAAATTAATTTTAAACTAAAATGTCCCAAAAAACTAGTATTTTTAGAATTTCCATCTTGTGGGATTTTTTGAAAATATTTTGTTCTGAATTGTAATAAAATGCATTTCAAAATATCAACATTTCCTGTAAAAACCTAAATGCTGAGTTTTGTGCAGCTCCACTGCAGAATTAACAGTAATCATTGATGAGTTAATACTCCTGCTATTTTAAAATGTTGCAATCAACTACGCTGAGACTTACCATTCCTTGCTCCTCCCATCTTTCTTGTCATCACCCCCAGCTCAGTTCTTTCATCATCCCAGGGGCTCCATCCTCCATCACCCCACAACACAAACCCCAATAAAAGAATTTACTTTAAATGCCAACTGGCAATACTACAAGATTCTCTTGATTCAGCTTTGCTCTTTTTCCTGTTGCTACTATCACACTTCTCATCCTGTGTTTAAGGAGAAATACAAGCTTACCACCAGTGAAAAAACGCTTGCACTTCAACTGGCCATGATTAGTCAAATCAAATACATCCAAGCTTAGTGACCATCAGGCAAGCATAATTAAGCCACATCAATTCCTGCAGCCAATGGCACACAAGCAAGTGGCAATATCCAGTCACCTCTGTCTCACCAGTCTGAGGGCACCTATACATGTGCATCGAGGCTGCCCTGATGTGCTGTAATTACAGCACATTGGAGTAGACTCAATTAATCAAGTCTGCTGGAGCGTGGTAATTACAGGGCTCCAGCAGACTCTAGTGTCATGTGTATCAGCATCCCCACACTGAAAAATGGCAGAACAGGCACTTTGTTTTATGCATTTCAGTCAAAGTGCCCTCGCTGCCATTTTTCAGCACAGGGACACCAATACATGTAACGCTCTGGGCGCTTTAATTAGAGCAGCTCTTGGAGCCGCTCTAATTAAAGCCCCCCTCTCCTGGAGCATATGTATAAATGCCCTGAATGGGTAGGTATCCATTTACATCGGAGCTGACTGGGGCTACCTTCAGCTTAAATCTGGTACACGACTGAAACCACACCTCTAGAACCACAGCCTTTATTGCTCAGCTACCAATTACTCCCTCCCAGATTTTTTAAGCCTCACTTTGTTTTAACAAATAGGTATTAGAAGCTTCAATTCTACACAAAAAATAAAAAAAAATAAAAAACCCTCTGATACAAATGGGATAAATCCCAAACCCAATTAAGTCTATGAGAATTTTGCTACCAATGTCAGTGGGATAAAGGTTAATTCCCAAAGATATCTGACTGCAGTATGTTCATTCTGGTTACCATGTACTTGGGAGCACAGTTTATTTTGTTATTGGACCTTCTTCCAGGTGGCTCAATAACACAGCATGTCAAAATCTGTATTCAGAAGAAATGTAGGACTCAATTCTCTTCTATACTCAGGTTCTGGCCAAAACCTTAGTGGTATCCACATCCACTGTGGCACTCCTTTATGGTACCAGACCAGCGTGCAAGGGACTTTAGTGTAAACAAGAGTCAAGGCCATAGCATCCAATTCTAGTCTTTAGTGGAGTGATGCCACTAAAGTCAGTCAAAAACCCAGGTGTAAAAAACCGGTGAGGGTGAAAGCGGGAGCAGGGCCACACAACTCAGAAGAATACACTATATTTGGTCACTTACGTTTCATGAGTCCCAAAAAAGAAGATGGGGTATTTATTTGCTGGAGGCTTCACGGCTCCCTCAGGGAGTTCATCGATCTGTGAGATAGAAGACAGGCTTGTTATCAATCATTCTGTCCATCACAGAAGCCAGGTGGGCAAGGGGTCACTAGCAAACCAAAATATGATACTGCAGTTTTCACTTATTCAGTGCTCCTCATGGCTTGCTTAATAAGTTTCTTTTGTAATGTGTGTGTCTGCAGACCACTCCCTATTCACATTTTGTGAAGATGGTCTTGAGTCCACCTGGGACAATTCAGGAAGAGGTCACAAAACCAGGAAGGCATTAATATAACTCATGACTGACAACCATGCAGAGAGAATGCCTGTTTAGACACAGAACAGGTAAGCACCACATATCAAGCATGCCCAGGCTGCCCCTGCCAGCATCTCCAAGGCATCCACATGGCCCACAGTATCATAGTATTTGAACACCTCCTTAATGTACTTATCTTCACAACAACCCTGCCTTCTGGGCTGCATTTGAAGCTGCAAGAAATATGGCCTTTATGACCCGTCACTGTGGAGAATGTGGGGAAGGCTTTTTTTATGAAAACTATGTATAATTTTCCCCTACTCATTTTTATATTGTGACCTATGAGAACAGAAAAGGGGTTCATTTCTTCTCTGGGACAGGGGAATGAACAATGCTGCTGTAGGAATGTTTGGGTTGACTGGAGTGAGCTATGAAGAACTGTCAACATATGAATGGAGTTTCCTATGAAAGACCAAAGACCAGACATCAACTTTTAATGTCTAGCAGCCAAGGGAGGCAGTCCATACTGCATCGCAGATTCTTTCCAGTGCAGGAGACAGAACCTGGGTGAGCTGGATCAAAAAGACTTGCCAGCACAGAAGCATTGGCAAGTTTTATTTTTCCAGCCTAATCTACAGACTCTGATTGATTTTCAAAGATGGCTCCATCAATCAGTTTATTTCCCAGTTAATTTATATTTTAAATTTGGGCACAGAATATGATTTAAAGGAAAAGAATGTGAAGAAAAAAAATGCCACTCCATACTGTCTCCATGGACTGTACTTTCATATCAAATGGGAACCCCTAATGTGGACTGAGCAGCAGAATGGTGTGGTCCACTCTTAGAGGGTGTCGACTGATGTGGGGTTTCTATGAAATTAAAGCAAGAGGTGTACACACTCAGTACCACTGAGGAGTGGAGACTGGTCTAATGAGGAAATGTCAAACCAGAGGAACATTTTTTACACCAGGCCCCAAGGAAGGATATTCCCGTGATCTGAAATGGAAAATGGGTATGTTCTATCAGACCATGTGCTGGACTCTGAAGGTTTGAGGATACTTTCCTAAGCACAATCTAAACTACCTGCTATTTCCCTGGCAGCTTCTATTGTCAGCTAAGAGTAGCACCAAGGAGGTATAAGAAAGGTGTTGAATGTCTGTCTTGTTGCTTACATATTCTCTGTTTCTCAGTATGAACCTTTATTTGCAAACCCACTTCCTTTATGTCACATTAGGAAGTCATAAAAGAGCTTCTCTTGCTCTAGAAAGCTGGTATGCCCTGATCATTTCTCAAGTTATTAAACAGTCAAAGACATGCAGCACAAATGTGCACGGGGCAGCCCTGCTGGGGTTTTTAAGACTTTTACTGCATTCTGCAGTTTTACATCCCACTGTGTTGCCAGGATCTGCTCACTTCCTGCTTTTGACTGTGAACCCCCACTTTTCAGGTTTCTGCCGCCAAATATTGTATGAGAGTGAACTGCTCAGCGACATGGACAACTCCCTGCCCCCTTTTTCTGGGAATTCAATGGCAACACCTCCACCACATTTAGTGGGGACAGAATCAAACCAGCAATAACACTAAAATAGTCCTCTTCTCTTTTTATCCATTTTACAAGAAAGCCTGCAGCCTAGCTATGCAAGGGCCATGAAACACACCCATATGATCTATCCATGCCAAAAAAAAAACCCAAACCCACCTCAGCCTATGCCAGCTGAATGCTCCAGTTACAAATGCCTATTATTTCAATAGTCAAATAACCTCTGTGCTTCCTGCAACCTACCACTATTTTTTACTAAGTGATGCCTTGGAGCACAGCAGCCATGCTGCAGCTCCCTGCAGCTGAGCTCAGCCACAGATTATTCCCATCCTACGTGACATTCTGGTTCAATCCACTGAAGATTCAGATCTTATATTTCTCTCAATGTCAGCAAGAGCAAAATGAAGGGGAGGAAAAAAAAACCCCCCTCAGCGTTTCCAGCCAGGAACAAAAGAGATAAGTGCACGCATGCTAGGACACAGAGCTGTAGTCACAGAAACATGGCTAATGACTGAAGCATCCATCAACTAAGCAGCCACACTGCTGTTTCGTTTGGCTGCTGGAAGGAAACAAACAGATGCTGAAATGCCGGTTAGAGCCTGCAATCGAACCGCAACCCCCTCCAAAACCCAAACCAGACTGTGGGCTGGATCTGGCTCCCACTGAAATTAGCAGAAGTCAAGCCCTGTCTGCAAATCGGATGTGCACACTAACAACATCATAAACAGGCATTTCAATTACAGCCAAAATAAAGCAGGTGGTTTCAGATTTCGAGTTTTATCTCCTTCGCTTCTGTTGCTTTCATCTGCTTAATGAATAACAATTGCTTTATTTTTAAACAAGCTCTGCACAGCAGTGCTTCCCGACATTTGTTTGCCAACCAAAAGGCACAGCTTTATAGAGACATTTAACTGTGTTTCTGGTAAATAAATGCAAGCTTTAAGGTGCAGGTCTCTGAAGCGAACAGCCCCTCCCAACCTGACAACCCGGTGCAGGGCTTTGTCAAAGCGTGTTGCTAAGGACAATAAACATGTGAACAAGAATTTGGTCTTAAACTCCCATGAACCAGGCATGCTGGTTTGTAAACAACCTAAATGAGGGTCTGATTCTGCGACTCTTAGTGGCGCTGTGCAGTTGCTGACTCCTTGGGTAGGATCCCTAAGCAATGGATTTGGCAGCACACCTGCAGATCAGAGCCTTGGCCCACGGGTACCACTGTATCAACAGGACCCAAGAGCAAGGGGCTACTCCTGGAGCTAGACTGTCACTTGAAAGCCACATTGCTGTGTAACTGGCCACTGCCCCAAAAAGCACTAGTGGGTCTGTGCTAGAGAAGCAAGTGCCTGGCTGAGCAGTGCTGTTCCTTCACACAGGACTACACCGAGTACTTCACCCGCAACAGCTAAGTAGACTGCTCCTTTGCAGCTGCTGGCCCCAGTGGCAGGCTGCTCTGCAGACAGGGTGGCTGTGATCACATGAACCTGCCTCCTCCACCCTCCCACTTCCCTTACTGGGAGCTCTGGTCCCCAATGAACCGTACACTCCCTGGAGCCTAGGGGATGCTGCTGTCAGCAGCCCAAGCCTTGTGAGAGGAAACAGCAGTAGATCCAGCCCTATGTTCTGAATCATGGAACTTTTTGAGGACCTTCACTAACTTACAGCACCTGGCCAAGGGGTTATTCCCCAGCCCAAGTGCAGAGGTATCCCCAGTGCATCCTCTCTCTGTTGAGGACATCCCCTGTTCTGGGAGACATCCTGGCATGCATCCACCATGCAGGCCCCAGGCCATATGGAGACTGCTCCTACCTAGGGGGAATCTTGAACTGTTGGTGAACCCAGGGGGTGGCAACTTATGGCCCATGGGCCAGTGAAACCTTTGGATCCAGCCTGAAGACGTGGGGCTTTGACAGCATTCAGTGGCAGGGGATTTAGCTGTGGGTGCTCTCCCTGTGTTACTGTGGGGACAAGCAGCAACAGTGGCAGGGTCCTAGCACTCCCTTTCTTCCAACCTGGGGTGGGTCATTTCAGCCGTAGCTGGAAAGGTTGCCTACCCCTGGGTTAGGCAGTTTTTTCCAACTGCTCTGCACCATTACAGCAGTTCTCAAAACCTAGTTGGTCATATTTTACAAGGGATTTCACATTGCAAGATCATACTGTGCAAAAGTGTATTGTGATCAGGAACGCCCCTAGCAAACAGGGAAGATACTCGTCTATGAGCATACAAAACATGCAAGAGAAGGAATTAAGAGTGCAGGGACATAACCAATGATTTTCCCAGTATGTGGCAAGTATACTTGCTTGAAACTGCAAAGTATATTTTGCTTGGAACTGGCAAAAAAACACAGCAGCACTGCAAAGATCAGCATCTCCCACTGAAATCCTGGAGTCAGGAAGAAGCAATCAAGCCCATACCTATAAGCTACATTTTTGCTCTGGCTAAAGTTATGCATTATTATTCCACGCAGACAAAGTATCTTGATCTTCTTCAATTAGCTGATTAACACAAATAAATAAAGAGCAATACTCTTCAGAATCTATTAGTGAAATTGATGCCTTGCTGTCCCTCATACTGATATTTTTATCCCTATAGACTTATACATTTCTGCTAAAGAAGGAAATGCATTTTTAAATAGGCCATTGTGAATCACCAGAATGACTAGCTCCTAGAACAATTATTTTATCAGAAAGGATATATACACTATAATTTCTTCCTTTCCAAAGGATCCCAAAGTCTCTCTCAGACCAGGAGTATATGGTTTCAGTGAAATATAAATACTGAATGCTTCTCTATGCCCATATGCAACGGAAGGAAATGCTACCTTCTGATGCAAATACATCTGGTTTGCCGGCATCATATTTTGCATGCAGCCCTCTACCTCTACCATGTTTAACTCTCTGCTCCAATACATGTTTTCCATTGCTGTTTTTTATGACTTTGACTAAAAACCACAATTTGATTCTTTGGGATTTCAGGACTGTGTGACACTTTTGCCACCTCTTAATCCTTCCCCTGCTTTACTCCATATCCTAAAACTACAAGTGGTGGATGCTGAGCCACACACATTTTGATCCATAAACAGTAAGAAAACCTGTCCAGTAAAAGGTGGGACTAAATACAGGGTCCGGGTTAATAAAACAGAATTGCTCTACAATAAAAGGAAAACATGAAGAGACTCAGGTTAGGGGAACAGTGAAGCAGCAAAAGCAAAGATGAAAGCACAGCAGAGCGGTACATTTGAACT